GCTCACCCGGCTCCACACACGTGAAGGAAATCCCCAGTGGGGGTGGGTGAAGGGAGCTTCTCACACCAAGGCACCTCTGCCAGACGCGGCCCCGGCAGCTCCGCAGGGGCATTCTCTAACACACCTTGAGGACCAAGTCCTGCAAAGGAGGAGAAAGGCCTGGAAGTTCTCAGATCCTTCCTCCCCAGCAGGTGCTGGTGCAGGGAGCCCCAGCAGAGCCAGGAGGGAGCGGGAGCAGCCGTTTTGGGCCAGGCAGCCATAGCTTTCCATTTGTTTGTGTAATGTCCATCCCGCATGTATCTATGACATGGAGTAGTCAGAGATGGATTTCACCCTGTAAAAATGACTTCCTCCCCACCACCACATCCCTGAACGCTGCCTAACCCCTTCCCTGCTATGCCTTGCAGCTAAAGATACAGACAGTGGATTGGCATAGGGCCACGTTCAGCATTAATATCCTTCCCCCCACACCCCCGGCTATTTATAGCCTGAGCCACGCTACAATCTGACAGTTCATAAATCAGTACTGCAGACTTTTACAAAGTTTAACATAAGCCCAGTGACCCAGCACGAAAGCCCATCCAAAATAAACTCTGCAAAGGGGATCCTGGACATCTCTCCACAAAGCAATAGCGGGGCAGGTAATTCCTCTTTTATAAAAACATCACTACAGCAGCAGCATCCTTTGCACCTCAAAACAGATGCCCTCACCCCCAGTTGGTGTGGTAGCAACCAGAAACACCCTGGCTACTTTTCCTGCTGCAGGTTGGGGTTCTGAACAGGAAGATACTGAAGCCAAGCACGTGGTCAGGAAGTATCACACACACAGCTCTTCCCAGCCCTGACCTACTGCTCTGTCCCCTCTCCAGGTTCCCTGCCAGAGCACCTGAGCTGCTCCCAGCCCCTGCCACAACCTCCTCCACCCGGGAGGTTTTTCAGAGAAGGGCTCATTTTCTTTCAAGAGGCTATACAGCCAGGGAATTAAAAAAACCCAACCTAATGCAAACAAAAAAACCCCAATCGAACAAAAAAAAAAACCAACAAAAAACCAAACAAAACTAAAACCAACAACAAAACGAAAACAAAACAAAACAAAAAAGCAAAACCACAAAAACAAAACCCAAAGCAACAACAAAAACAAAAACAACCAACAACAAAAACAAACAAACAAGCAAACAAAACAAAACAAAAAAAAAAACACACACAAAAAAACACAACAAAGCAGCAAAGCACCCCAAAGCAGGCACATCTTCAGGGACCAGCATCCTGCCTCTCAACCTACTCTGAAGTAGAGACTCACCCCAGACCTCCCTCGTTTAATATCCAGTCTACCAAAACTCTCCTAAGCCAGTTAAGCCCCCACACCTTCAAAGTCAA